TATTTTGTGTTTTTTGGATTAATGCTAGCCTTGTTGGGGTGAGATGGTATCTCATTGTAGTTTTGATTTGCATTTCTCTAACGGCTAATGATTGTGAGCATTTCCTCACGTATCTGGTAACTGCCTTAATGTCTTCTTTGGTGAAGTGACTGTTCATATCCTTAGCCTATTTTTTAATTGGGTTATTTGTCTTTTTGTTGTTGAGGTTTTGCAGTATCTATTTTAGAGATTAGACACTGATCAGATTTGTCATAACCAAAAATTTATTTCCCAGTCTATAGGTTGTCTTTTTACTCTTTTGTTGAAGTCTTTTGATGAGCATAAGTGATTTTTAGGAGGTCCCAGTTATCTAGCTACTCTTCTGCTGTTTCTGCATTATTACTTATGATTTGTATTCTGTTTATGCCATGTATTAGGGCTCCTAGCGTCTTCCCTACTTTTTCTTCCGTATCTTTATCGTTTTTGATTTTATATTTAGGTCTTTGATCCATTTTGAGTTAGTTTTTGTGCATGGTGTGAGGTATGGGTCTTGTTTCATTTTTGGCAGATGGATATCCAGTTTGTAGGCATTTTTGATGTGTATATACTTAGGCATGGAAATGCTGGACCATAGAGTATCCCAAAGAAAAACTTACAGGATGATCATGATTGTGGGCTAGGTATAAACCAAACCAAACCAAACCAAACCACTGCTGTTTGAGTCGATTCCAACTCATAGTGACCCTATAGGACGGAGAAGAACTGCTGCATAGGGTTTCCAAGTCTGTAAATCTTTACTGAAGCAGACGACTGCATCTTTCTCTTGCAGAGTGACTGGTAGGTTCGAATCTCTGACCTTTTGGTTAGCAGCCAAGGGCTTTAACCACTGTGCCACCAGGGCTCCTTGGGTTAAGTACAGACTTCTTAACTAGGACACAGAAATCACAAATTATATATTTTATATAATTATGATAATATTTGGGTTTATACTTACCATTTTAGTATTTGCTTTTCATTAGTCAGCTGTATTATGTTCCCTTTCTTCCTTTTTCTTTCCTTATTTTGGATTAATCAGTCTTTAAAAAAGTTATTCCCATTTCCCTATTAATAGTACCTCAAGCTGACTCAGACTCATAGTGACCCTATATGACAGAGTAGAGCTGTCTCCATAGCGTTTCCTAGGCTGTAGGTTTCTGGGAGCAGACTACCAGGTCTTTTCTCCTGTGGAGTGGCTGGTGGGTGTGAACCATCAACCTTTCAGTAGCAGCTAAACCTTTTACCATTATGCCACCAGGGCTCCTTAGATCACTTTAACGCCATCTAATTCCCTCCCACATATTGTGCTATTTATTGTTTTCATGTATTTTGATTCTACATATATTTTAAATCCCACAGCTGACTGTTATTTTTGCTCTGCATAGTTTTTATTCAATTTACCCACATATGCACCCTCTCTATTGTTTGTCATTCTTTCCATCATTTCTGTACTTCTGTTTGTGGTTAATTTCTATCTGAAGAATTATTTTTAGTATTTTTCTTTATAGAAATCTTCTTATATGACTCATCCATGTTTTTGTTAGTCTGAAAAAAATGTTTTTATTTTACCTTCATGTTTTTTTGTTTCTCCCCCCAGCACATCAAAGATGTCATTCCATTTGTTTCCTGGCAGCTTTTAAAATTTTCTCTTTACCTTTAGATTTCAATAGTTTGAATATGATGCACCTAAGAGTGGTTTTTCTTTGTGATTACCATGCTTAGAGTTTGCTGATTATTTTGAATCTCTGTGTTGATATCTTTTATCAGTTTTGATATCTTTTATCAGTTATTTTAATAAAGAATTTTAAAAATTTAAAAGATTTCAATAAAGCCTATATCTCAGACAACTGCTGATCTTGTTTATATTATTTTTCCCCCTTCTTTACTCTGTTTCTTGACATACCTGACTGTTTTTAATGAAATACCGAACGCTGTATATGAAAAAAATAGGTAAGGCCTCTATTTTATTTTCCTCCAAAGAAAATTTATTTTCGCTTCTAATACATATTTAGAGTAGAGGAAAATCACATTAACTCATTCAGGACTGAGCTGACGTGAGGTTGGATTTCAGGGTTTAGAAGGCCTCATCTAATTCTGGTTTGTCCTTACTCCTAGAACAGGGCTTTCCAGGAGTCCTAAGAACTGTGACTTAAATCGTGTATCAGGGCTCTCCACCTTGATATCCCTGAACTCAGTTTTTTGTCTCTCCAAGAGTATAATGCTTCTAAAAACTTTGTTTAGCTTCTTATCCTCTTATTGACTACTTTCTACTTCACTTGCATCATTTAGGAATTGGCAAATACCTCAAAGAGAAAAACAGTGTGCGGCGCTATTTCTCCATGCTTCCTTCTGTCTGAGATTTGACTTCCTGACACCCAACCGCCTTGTTAGCCCTGAAGTCCAATGTTCATCATCCCAGGCTTGTGAGTGTATCAACAACTATTTAGTCAATACTTTCTGCCTGGCCTTCTACTGGGAATCTGAACCTCTTGTCCAACGTGGCATATGAACTGGCAGAGTTCTTGGGGGAAAATACAGCATAAAATGTTGGACTCATCACAGTGAACTTCCCATCTCTCAAGAAAGGAATTTTGACCACTCAAATCTTCTTCGAAGTTCTCCCATGCTCCTCATCCTCCTCATTTCTCTCGCTTGCTTGCTCTCGCTCTCTCTTTCTTACTTGTTCTCTCTCTCTTCCATTCGCATTCTAAATATATACACATACATTTGGCCTGCTGCAAGCTACTCTGTCATAGCCTCAGGCAGAAGTCCCCACAGATTTCATTTATGTGAAATGTGAGCAATTCCAACTGGCGTAAATTGGCCTATATCTTTCTAGTTCCAACTGAGGAATTTTGGGGAAACTTAGTATTTAGAAGATTGGGTATGGCTGAAAGATACTCATTAGGGAAACAATAGAATGAAGTATTAGGTTAGAGCAGTGGTTCCCAAAGCGTGGTCCTCAGACCAGAAACATCAGAATCATACGAGTCTGAACCTCAGACTCATTATTACACGATTATTTTTCCTACAGAGATTATACAATACTAATGATTTTGATTACACCTTACAAAGCAGTTCTAGTCGCTTCATCTTTTCCCTTTCAAGTCACACTCCACAGCCTCTGAGACTTCCCTAACCCCCTTGACCTTGACTTTGTATTTTTTTTCTTCTTGAAACACAACGTATAACCTGTGAGCTTATTAGAAATGCATATTCTTGGGCCCCACCCCAACCCACTGAATTAGAATCTTTGGGGATGGGGAGCAGGATACTGCTTTAACAGGCTCTCCAGGTGATTCCCATGCATGTTAATGACTGAGAGTCACTGGGCTGTCTGAGAGGCAGCTGGAAGTCAGTGCTATACTTCTTATTCCTGATGTCATTATTAGCTTTCTAAATCCCTTTGTCTTCACAGGGCCTAGCACAGTGCCAGCCATCTTTTAGGTACCCAGATAACATGGTTGAAGGTAAGACTGTCTGGTTTAATAACTGAGATCACTAAATAAAAGTGCTCATCCTTCAGGGCCATCCTCCTCATTTACAAGATGACAAAAAAAAAGCCTGTTCACATTCTAAAAGGCGTAGAATGAATGCCATTCTATGTAGCCTCTAAATAGTCAGAAATTTCAGACAACCATAATTTGGCAAATAACAATGGCGGCTCATAATGATACCCAGGAGGTGCTACAAAAATATGAACTCTCAATTGCCAAAGAGATTATGCTCAACCATGTTCAAATTGGTCTTAGTGCTCTGTACATGACCAGCATGTCACCTTTGAAAAAAAAATCCAAGATTTCAAGCTCTAAGGGGGAGAGAATTTTGCATCTTATTAGGTTGGTTGTGTATGTTAACTTATTTTAGGAATATCATTAATGTATTCGAGAAATATTTTGCTAAAAGTGCTAATGAAACAAGGTTAAAATCCAAACTGAATCCCAAGAGGTGAGAGACTAAGTAAGAGTGAAGAACAATTTGAAATGAAAACAAAATAACGGAAGAAATGTGCCAGGAAATTTGAAATAATAACATGAACAACAACAACAAAGAGAAAATGAAAGTAGAATAAAATTTAAAAATACACAGCATTTAACACTGAGAACGTGAAGAGCAATATGTAAATGAAACCATGATTTCTTGGGGAAAACCACTGGCCCCAGGAGGCAAAGGGGAGACAGGAATCAGTCCTACCTCCTCCAGTTGCACCATGAGAGTAACATTGTGCCCTTGTTCAGCAGTCAGCTTTCCATCAGCGGTGACAATCCGGAGCCCCCGTGGGGCCTTCCCTGGACACTTCTGGGGTTTGGCAGTGTACTGTTCCCTTACACCATCAGTGCAGTTATTGGAGACCACCTTCCTATACCTAAACGGAGAAAATCTCACGTCATAGCCTAGCTCATTATAATTCATATCACTCCTGAGTTAAGCTGGACTTACTGTCTAGCCCTGAGGGCCATCAATAACCACCTTTCATGTTGCTGTGAGGATCAGAGCTAATTCATATAAAGCACCCAACAGACAGACAGGCTTCCCATAACAAATTGTCCCTATTATTAACAATTTAACTTACTTGTTCTTTTATTCATCTAATCAATTGATGAATCATTTCTTCATTTGAGGGCTGTGGAAAATACTCAGTAGTAGATGGCATGGTCCCTGCCCTCAATGAGTTTATAATCTAGTTGAAGACACATACATAGATAATCTAGGAGATAATTCAAAGGCTATATAATTAATGGCCAGAATGAGTAATACACATTAAGAGAACACTTGTAATTCAGATAAAGGAGAGATTATTATGGTGATACCACTCAACATTAGATTTCATACAAGAAGTGCCAGTAATAGTGTAGTACAGAAAAACTTGGCTAAATCTGGTAGTTTCTACCTAATATTTCATGAAGAGTTATACTGGCTAACCTAATGGAACCTTACATCTATGAGCACTCAGTCTTTGCAGATTGACTAAATCCTTCCTACTCTTTTGCTTCTCTTTTCTTGTTTTAGCTTTAAAAGAAAAAAAAGAATGAATGACCCTACAAATTTATCCTACACGATTTATCAGATTTATAGTTAATTAGAACCTGTGGTTTTAGGATGACCAACCTATAAGATTTTTGAGGTTCAGTGTTACTTATTCATCATCTTTTGTGTGGGGTCCACAGTAACCGCTTTATTTATTCACTTATCGATTTGCCAAGTCCACTTGCCGAGAGTTAGTGGTAGAACTCAAATTGGAAGCAATCAAAGTCCAAGGTCTTTCTACTCTTCGAGACCAGTCAGCAAACTTTTTCTATAAAGGGCTAGATAGTAAACATTTTAGGCTTTATGGACCATTTGGTTTTTGTCACACCTCTCAACTCTCTGGTTGGAGCGTGAAAGTGGTCATAGCAGATACATAAAAGAATAAATGCAGCTGAGTTCCAATTAAACTTTATTTACAAAAACTGGCGGTGAACCAGATTTTGCCTGCAGGTTCTAGTTTTCCAATTCCTTCAAGTCTAGCAAATGCTCTTTCCTCTGTTGCTGAGTTCCAGCACTGAATACCTGAAAACATAGTTGAGAAATTCAAGTGAGATACTGTCTGGAAAAGTGCTTTAAACACTATAGATCACTCCAAGGTCAATTTATGTTTAACAACTTCCCATGTAGTCCTCTCCTTGTCCAACCCACTTTACATACAAATACCAGGTCAATATTCCTAAAAATTCCAATTTAACATTCAACCCTTCCACCTCCTAGCTGTGTGACCTTATACAAGTTACTCTGAGCAGTTTCCTGATCTAAAAATGGAAATAATAATAATATTCACCTCATAGGGTGGTTGCAAGGATTAAATGGATTAATGTACACAGAGTACTTAAAACCACCCCGGCAACTGGCAAGTTTTCATGAAATGTTAACAATTATTATATTTAATATTAATAGTTCTCTTCTTTGCTCAAAACTTTCATGGCTTTCAAATGTTTTTAGGGTAAATTGCAAACCCTGTTTCTTGTATATGAAGCCCCCCACAAGCTAATTTCTTTCTACTTTTCTTGACACTTTCCCCCACAACAAGCTCATTCTGCTCTAGTCAAGTCTCTTTTTAATCCTTCTCGAAAGTACTTCTTTCTCTTTGTTCTTTCTGCTTATGTCCTCTTGCACGCTCCACTAGCTGCCTCAACTTACCTACTCTTAAAGGTGAAGCACATTTCCTGCCTCCTCTAAGGCAATTCTCCTGAGAGAGTTTACTGTTTTCTAGTCACTGCATTAAGTTCTCTGCATGAATTATTTTATTTATCTTCAAAATACACTTAATGATGTAGATACTGTTATTATTCCCAATATACAGACAAAAAAATTAAGATTCATAGATGTTAAATAGTTCTTTCAAGGTCACACAGCCAGGACCCCAAACAGTGTCTCTGGAATACATATTTTCTAGCTGCTATACTGCACTGCCTCTCTAAATGAAGTAAAGTAGTCCCTCTGTCAAAGATGGTCACTATGAGTCAGAATTGACTCAATAGCACACAACAATAACAAGTCCCTCATTTAAACTCTTAAAGAAGTCCTTATGATTTATTTGATAGGAACCTTCTATGCCTTGTATGGTTTTCTTCTATGTATCTTCATGGACTTTAAGCTCCTTGAGGGCTTCTTTCTGCCCCAGGGCTGGTAATCAGGAGTTCCATGCTTGTATGGCTGTACCAGTTTAAATGCTGGAATGCCAGCAAAGCAGTTGGTTACTACCACTGCCCCGAGCCCTCCAAGCACCTTGCTCACCAACTCAGCCGTACTGACCTCTACTCTTGGAGCCCCTGGTCCTTATCACAATCCAGCAACTAGTTAAAACCCAGCACAGCAAGGGGACCTCCAAGACCTGCTTCTGCTCTAACACCTCTGCCCATTCTGATTGGTCATTATCACGTCTGAGTATTTTGAGCATCACCATCTGATATTTTTTTTTTTTAATCCATGGTAGGTGCTTATGAGTATATGCTGATTAAAAGAGAAAATAAGGCAGGCTGAAAAAAGAAGAAAAAAAATGGTGCTGAAAGCATTGGAGAATGATAGCAAGCAAATAACCAGCAATGCCACACAGTCACGATGGCATCCCAGTGAGTTTAGCTGTGCCTCAGAAGCTCCCTGCGTGTTTCAGAGGCGAGGCACTATGCAAACTGAAGCCAGGTTATGGCTTTTAATCACTTAGCATCCAAGCACACCTGTGACTTTGTCTTGGCGAGCCGCTATAGAGGCCTGGGCTCAGCCATCACCGCTGGCCTCATCAGCAAAGGAACATTCCTTTTGTTTGTCGCTGTTCTGAGTAATCATCACCCCAGGCTTTCCCGAATCCTGCAGCAACAGGAGTTCTGCTTCAATCCAAAGCACAAACCCATCCCCTGGGATTCTGCCACAGAGAAGACTGTTGGTAATTTTTTAAAATGCTCATTAAAAACCATTCTGAAACTATTTTATTTCCTGGACGAAAAATGGCATCCCCATTAGCCTACCAGACCGGTCCCCGAAATTTAGAAGAAAATTGTGCAGAAATACAGAGTTCATTTACTCATGTAAGCACACACCTGCTTTTTGCATTACAGAATGGTTCTATTTTCATCCCAGCAGCAGTCCCTGGGTCTGAGTTACATAAATGAATAATGCATTTAATATGTTATTAAATGGGGCTGCTACCTCCGTAATAACAAGGCAACTTATGATTATGTTGGACCTAAGCTCTGAATATTACTGGGATGCATTTAGCTGGTAAAGCATTCTTCAATCTGCCAAGAAGGAAAGTGCTTTGTAATGGCAAGGGAGTCTTTGCACAATTACCGAAGAGGAAACATTCTGCAAATGTGCCTTTGATACTACCGACGGCTCATCAGTAGATACTGTCTTATTACTCCAACAACCTCAGTTTCAACTAGTCTCTTCCTTCCTATCTTGATACGCCTCTGTCACCTTTTCCTTTTTACCCCTACCCTCTTTGATTTGGCTTCTCTGCTGCCTTCTGGTCTTAAAGATGAAGGCCAACATTTCTCCTTGTGAGAATAAAACTAGAAAAAGACAATGAAAGCCTGTATATTCTGTGAGTTTACTATGCAGGATTTTTTTTCTTGAGATATTTGGAGGGGGAATACCGAAGTTTATGACTGACTATTCGATGTATATTAAGGTGAAGGTATAGGCTGGCTCAGTGGATCTCAAGCCTGTCTGCCCTTTAGAGTCACTTGGGGCACTTTTAAAATATGTGGAGGACCAGGATGTACCCCCAGGGATTCTGATTTGAGGATTCTGGGCATCAGTATATTTTTTTAAATTCCCCCAAATGATTCTAATGTGCAGCCAAGATTAAAGACCACTGTCCTAGTGGGTAAAAGTTGTACTGTGGAATCGAATTGCCTGAGTTTCAATTTAAACTCTCATTTACCGTAGGAACTTTGGTGAGTTACCCATCTTCTCTCTAATCTTTAGGCTCTTTATCTGTAAAATAAGGATTATTATAAGTCATTTTTATAAAGTTCTTGGGAGGATTAAATGAGATGATACCTGCAAAAAGGTTAAGCACAGTGTCTGGCACATTGCAAGAACTTAATAAAATACAAAAGTTAGTAAAAAAAAAAAAAAAAAAAGGTATTATTTAAAGTAGCTTGCAGTTAGCTACAAATTTGTCTGGAAATTGGAACCACATTCTTATTGCCAAGATCACCTTAAGTTCAAACCCAATCATGTCAATTTGTTCCTTAAAATGATTTAAAGACATCGTACAGGCTTATTCATAAAGGGTAATATTCAGGTTTAAAGATGATGTCCACAACTGGCTTCAATCCATTTTTGAAGCTTCCACTCTTTATGCTGCTCCCTACACTTCCTGAGCACAGGCCATTCTGAACACTGCATGCCACTATTTTGCCTGTGCTGTTCCTTCTTCCAGGGATGTGCTTTGCTCCTGTCAATCTTCTACTCATCCTTTCCTTGTTTCACAATTGTTATCACATGTAATGATCAAGGTAGGACTGGAACTCTAGGTTTTCTTGTGCCCAAGGGTCACTATCAGTTGGACTTGACTTGATGGTAATGGATTTGGTTTTTTGGTTACAGTAGGCCTTATTGCCACTGAACTATGGTGACCCTCATTTGTGTTCACAATGAGAGGAATTGAAACAGCTTAATTTCTTGGATTGTACTGTGTGCCTTTGCTTTCAAGGGAAAACCCTACCTTGTTACAAAGACATTCTACTTCATAAAACAAGAAATGGAGTAAGCCTTGAGGATAAAGAAGCGGGCTAGTTCTGGGTACAGTGTCTGGCTAAGACTTAAGATCTTCCTAGACCCACACCTTAGCAATGCAGGTGTGCCACTCCGTACCATGGGACA